GACTCTCTTTCTTGAGTCTCCATTGACTCTCTTTATTTCTCTTATACTCGTAGACGGCTTAGGGTTTCACAGAAGTGTGACTTATCCCATCGGGAACGGCATAATTCCGACCCAATATCTCCTACCGTCTACGGAACCAATCTCGTGGTTCAAACTCTGTGGAATCAGGTATCGAACTATTAGTGTGCACACCCCCTAACCAGGATTCCAAGCCCGACGGGAAGTTTCCAACCTCGTAACGTGGGAATACGCTGCGTTACATACTCTGGGACCACAATGTCCATAAATATCTCCTGAGAGGAACATAGTCCAAACGGTATCCTCCAAAACCTCACCGATATAGATAATACATAAATATATCTCTCATGCCTCAATCTCATGCATGCAACAATTCTACTACTTCTCAATGCATCAAAGAATGATATACCTCATGCTTATGGTTTTTGAAAGTATTCTTGGACTCACGTTGACCCTTTATGCATTTTTGAAATATGACTCATGTGAAATGTCAAATGCTCTAAAACATGCTTCTAAATCATGTATACATTAACATGAATTATTAAAGGATATATCATCATGCTCGGTTTGCAAAATAGCAATTTCTATACATTTCACTCAGCAAGTATGCTTCTATTCTCATGGATCAAATAATACATTTTAATCATGCTTTCATATCAAATCCTATTCTCAAAGGATCATGTTTCTTTACTCAATAAGAACATTATTTGATCATAAAATCATCAATTTCTCAAACACAGAGAATTTAGCAAAATATACACTGTGTAACATTTCTTACAAAATCATTCTTAGCATACTCGTTTTTAATCCAAATTCAACCAAATCAAAGCCAAGACGTGCGTCAAGACGATCCCGAAGAGCCGAGCCACAAGGGCCCGTAACACTCTGTTAGTAATGTTATATTTCCCATTTATTTATTATGTAACATTATAGTTGAAATAGTCCTGTAACTAATAGCTATTGACTAGGTGTAGTCAGATAGGACTCTAATCTCCTTTTGTATCTCTGTAACTTCTCTGAGTTTGAATTAACGATAATCTGTTTTCACTCATCTGGTATCAGTAAGCTAGGTTAACCTATTTTCTCTCTCTCTCAAATTATGTCGACAAACTCTAGCGAAAGAACGGTCACCGCCGCTACCCCACCACCCTCCACCACCCCAAACACCCTTGCCTCGGCTCACCACTTCATATCTATGAAGTTAACCACGAAGAATTTCCTCTTCTAGCGCACCCAACTCGTACCATTCCTCCGTGTACAGGGCCTCCTTGGGTTCGTAACCGGCGATACGCCATGTCCACCGGCGACGCTTGAAACCCCGGCGTCCGGAGATGCTGCTTCCGGCGCCACGACCACCACAACACCGAATCCGGCTCACGGCGTATGGATACAGCAGAACCAAAGTATCCTGTCTCTGCTCGTATCGTCGATGGCAGACGAGGTGCTCTACCTCGCCGTGGGCCGCACGACGTCGCAGGAGGTTTGGTTGTCGATCACGGCGGCGCTTGGTTTCTCAACTCGGGCGAGATGTCTCAATCTCCTGGCACAATTCCAATCTCTTAGGCAAGGTGACAGCACTCCCGCAGAATATCTCGGCCGCGCACAATTATTGGTGGAAGATCTAGCGTTGGCCGGCCGATCGGTCTCGCTTGATGAACAAAACCTCTGGGTTTTCCGAGGTCTCTGGCCAGAATTCTGGTCGATGGCGTCTTCCCTCGTGGCATTCCGGTTGAATTAACGATAATCTGTTTTCACTCATCCACTCGGTCCGAAACGACACGTAGCTGAGCCACAAGGGCCCGGCCACTGCACAACATCTCATCAGAACAATACTCAGGGACTTGGGGCGGGACTCTTCATGGTCCGCCCCTATAGACCCGTTACTACGCCGGGACTAGGCTACGACCCTCTTCTAGGGCCGTGCCCTAGTCCCGTGGTGGCACGGCTCTACCCGGCAGCCCTTCTGATGGGTCACGGCTAGGGCCGCCACTCTGGTCTGGTGCACACTATGTTGTGCACCAAATAGCTTTTCACCTGCAAAAACTTGTCCAAACATGTCCAAAACAATCTCAACAACTCATAAACACATACCAAAGCATTTCTAAGCATAAACACATCAAAATCTCATAATTTCTACTCATTTCTACTCAAAACTAGGCTTCACAGAGCCAAATCTAAAGAGAAATCCATGGGGTTATACCTCTTGTATTCTAGATTTCTTGCTTGAATCTCTTCTTCCTCTTGGTCTAGCTTGAGCCTCCTTCACCACTAGGTTAAAGTTTTTCTCCTTGGATGTTGGCAGACAAATGTGAGGAAGAGGCAATTCAAATGAAATCAGGAAAATGTGATGGAATGAAGGGTTTATATAGGGTTCAAAATCCTAGGATGATTCACAATGATTGATTGAGGGCAAAGGGGTAATTTTCCCAAGCTAAAAGATGACTTTATAAGGGATTTTTGGATGTCTTGTGGTCCACCATGTATCATGAACCATAGGCTAGGAATGATATTTCTTTATTACTTTGGGGTGGAAAGTGAATTTTCCCAAAAACTATATAGATAAACATTTGTTCAAAATTCCTTTTTTTAATTCTCCCGGTGTCACTCGGGTAAAATTCTCGATTTAAATCTTGGTACGCGAAGTACCCGAAAACTTTGGAATTTTCGAATGAAATTCATTTCTTCGGTGTCGAATTAATTTTAAAAATGGAACAAAATTATTTTATTCATACACCGGTTGATCGCAAAATTTTTTAATAGGATGAAAAAGCTACTTTGGAATTTCTTAATACTGGATTTATAAAATAAAATTTTGGGTTGTTACATGCATACCAAAGCATCATAATTGATGACGCCTTTCCAAATTTTGATTTAAATGAAAATGAAAGGGAATAATGATACTTCTGTTGGAGAGTTGTCTAATCCTAGTGCAAGAGAATTATTTTCTTTGTTAAATGATGCTGATGAGGCATTATGGGATGGTTGCAAGAAGCACTCAAAACTTTCGACTGCGTGACAATTGTTAAATTGTAAGTCAGAGTGTAACATGAGCGATTAATCTTATGATCGGCTTATTTCAATAGTAAAAGACATGTTGCTTTAAGGTGATAAGCTTCCAAAAAATTTCTATAAGATTAAAAAGATGATGAAAATTGGGACTTGGTTATAAAAAAATTAATATATGTCAAAACAATTGTATGTTGTTTTATAAAGAAGTAGAGACATTAACAGAGTGTTCTTTGTGTGGTAATCCTCGGTATAAACTTGTGAAATCAACTAGTACAAAAAGGGATACCTTTTAAGACTTTGAGGTATTTTGAGAGTATTCGGGCTAAAATATTTAGGATGGAAAAATAAAATTTGTTCCCAAAAATATTTTATTAAAATAGGACCATTTAAAATTATGGGTTAACACACACACACGTATTTCATTTCTATTTCGTCTTCCAAAAGGTTGAACCCCAAACCTAAGGGCCCCCCACACCCCTGAACATTAATCACAAAGGCTAGACCAGTGCTCACTGCGCACAAGGAGCCCCCCTCACCTCGATCCCTGGTTATTCTTCCAAAGTTTCACCTCTATGACCAATTGAGCTACCCATGCGGGTTTTCATTTCTATTTCTTAAACCAACCAAACACTGTAATATAATTCCTAAAGCCTATTCATTTCGCGAACTAAACAATATAATACCATTCATATTCTATTCATTGCATATTCCATTCCTTATGGAATAACAATCCTATTATCTCAAAATTCATTCTGCGAACCAAACGTGCTGTTAATGTACATAAACATTAAACTGTAAGTATATCATATCTATTTCCATTCACTTTCTAGTAAATTCATATGAATCATTCCATATGTTCATTAAAAAAAAAAAAAAAAACTAAATGTACCTATATTGCATTATATGTGCATAATGATCATAGTACTTGTTTAATATGATTATGAACATAAACTTTAATGTAGATAAACACTATACGGTAGGTACATCATATATATATATATATATATATATATATATATATATATATATATTTCAATTCATATTGTAGTAGGTCCATAATGTTCACAAAAACAAAATTAATTTACATAAACATCACAATAAAGTAATTCATATAGTAGTAGGTTCGTTACCGGATTTGTCATTTGCAGGATGTATTATTAACGAATGCCGAAAGCTCCAACGACACTTTGAATCAGTGTCTATTGATTTTATTTCGAGATCAGTGAATAAGGTTGCTTATGAATTGGCAAGGGCAACTCGTTCTAATTCTGATTTCCTTATTTGGCTTGATTCTATTCCTTCGTATATTGAACGTTTGATTTAATAAAGTATCATTTTGGTTTTCAAAAAAAAAAAAAAAAGTAATACCTTTATATACCTATAGATCTCAATATTAGTGTCATTTAAAAGATTTTAATTAAATTTTTTTAATGATATATTTTTTATACATTAATTTGTTTTGTACACAAAGAAAAAGAGAAAAATGAATTAAAGTACAAAAAAAACTAAGAAGATTTTGGGGGTGTTTGGTAAATAGTTGTTAGCTGATTGAGTTAGTGGGTTTGACTAGTTGATAGCATTAACTGATTGTAGAAAGATGTTTGGTAAATTAGCTATTAGCTAATAGATGATTACATACAAAATGATTTTCTCAAAAAGGCTACTTTGAACAGCTTTTTGAATTTTAGTGTTTTGGAGAAATAAGTTGTTACAAAAAGCTAATTAAACAAACACTTATATTGATTATTTTATCAAATCAAACAACTAATAATACTTAAACAAGTCAAAATTGACTGATAGACTAACTATTTTAGGGAGCGAAATAAGAATATCTTTGGATGCAAAAGCAAAACAATTCAAGAAATGAGCAAAGGCCAAAAGGGGGAATTATCGAATTACTAGAAGTGAAGGGGTGTTGACAATATTAGTCCAAAACTGCAGAGTATGTATTTAACGCAAAACCCTAAAACCCTAGAACTCCGAATCTTGTCGCCGTTTATAAGACGCCAAATTCTTCTTGTCCCGCTAGTACCGTAAACCCCTAACCCGCGTTCTTGACGGTTGCTGAGCGGAGGAGCAAATGCTAGTGCTCTTTGAAACGCCGGCGGGCTTTGCCCTTTTCAAAGTATTGGACGAGGGCAAGCTCTCCAAAGTTGAGGTATTTTTGCACTTCGATAAAAAAAAAAAGTGAACTCTTTTAACATTCGGGTTAGTCTGGTTGATGTTTTGATGCACTGGGATGATTTTGCTTTTGCAGGATTTATGGAAAGAGTTCTCCACAGCCGACACTGCTCGAAAGGTCTTGCTTCTCTTACTATCTTGTTTTCCCACCCGTTTAGTTAATTTCCAGTAGTAGAGACCAGGAAAAAATGGGGTTGGGGGGGGGGGGGGGTAGGGAGTTTGTATATTTGTATCTGTAAGGTAAAAAGTAGGGATCATTCTTATTTTCTGATGAAATTTCAGGGGATTTGATTTAGAATTTGTGTTTTGTGGAAGCTTTAGCTGGGATTTAATGAGTTTTGTGTGCCCTTTCTTTGGTGAGGAGGAATGCAAGTATTAGTCTCACCTATTTTCCTTACCTATCATCAAGTTACATTTGTCTGTCTTTGTATTTTTTAATTTAATTGTGTATACTGGCTTGTATACTGTATCACGAAGAATTCAATAATGTGGGTATAGTAATTGAGTGGTCAAAGCTTTTTCTGCCAATGGAGTTAAATTTTACCTGAAATATATGATTTGTTTTCAAGTTCAATTGTTAAGTGCTTGTTTTGATTGTTAAAGTCTGTATATCTGAATATAGTCCTGTTGCTTGGGAATATAAAACAGGTTGTAAAGCTGAAGGCATTCTCTAAGTTTGAGAATACTTCTGAAGCATTGTCAGCGGCTACCTTACTGATAGATAGTAAGCCAAGCAAAGGGCTACGCAAGTTCTTGCGAGCTCACTGTGAAAATGACACTTTAGCTGTGGCTGATTCAAAGCTGGGAAATGCAATCAAGGAGAAACTGGTATGTAATTATTGCTAAAGATCTTATTTCTTTTCATTTAATTACTTACTATTCTTATATTCTGTGATCTTAAACTACCATTTGCCTGCAGCAAATTGACTGTGTGCACAACAGTACGGTCATGGAATTGATGAGAGGATTGAGAAATCAATTGACTGAGCTCATATCTGGTTTGGCTGTTCAAGATTTGGCTCCAATGAGCTTGGGTTTATCTCACAGCCTTTCAAGATACAAGCTAAAATTTAGCCCTGATAAGGTAAATTGCCATTTGTTTTCAGCAGAAGACTTAGATCTAAGATACTGCCTTTATTCTTTGCAGTTTGTCAAAATGTGGACTCCAAAATTAAATAACATTAGCCGTTTTTCTCCATCTTCTTGTCTTGATAGTTTGATTACTTGTTATGTCATCTATTTTTATTATCTTTTTAGGTGGATACAATGATAGTCCAAGCAATTAGTCTATTGGACGATCTTGATAAAGAGCTAAACACATACGCAATGAGGGTACGAGAATGGTATGGTTGGCATTTTCCTGAGCTTGCAAAGATAGTACAGGACAATATCCTTTATGCCAAAACTGTGAAGTTGATGGGTGACCGCACAAATGCTGCAAAGCTGGACTTCTCTGAGGTATTTTTCCATTCCGTTTATTATTTTATTTTTGACAATTAATGTCTGGGGAATGCCTATCAGGGTTGTGATTCCTTGTTGTTACTATAGGTACTTGATCAATTCAGTTCTCACTACTTGTAGGACTTAATGCCTGGAACCTTTCATTGATTAGTTATTTTTTTTTTGGGTGTAAACCATGAGGTGTTCCGTGTTTTTCTCTGTCCGTTTAACGGTCCAGGTCCACTCGATTAATCCCGTTTGCTCTTGGAGGCACGCGAGCTGGCCCAAGGGGAATCGTCACTTGTGGGAACCGAACCCGGGTTATCCCAAAATTCTCCCCCACAAAAAAGAGCTCATTTGCCACTTGAGCCACCCCGTTGGGTTGATTAGTTGGTTATTCGCTTGAGGCAAAAAACAACATTTTTACAACTTTAGATTGGATTCATTTCTTTTGAATTTAGAGGATGATTCTATTGATTACGGAGTATTATTTTTTATTAGGTGTTGGAATATCTTAGTCTTTTTTTTTTTTTTTTTTGGAAACTTTAGGTTCTCCCTGAGGAGGTTGAGGTAGAACTGAAGGAAGCGGCCATGATTTCTATGGGAACTGAAGTTAGCGATCTTGATCTAATGAATATTAAAGACCTATGCAATCAAGTTCTGTCATTTTCAGAATACAGAGCTCAATTGTATGATTATTTGAAGAGCAGGATGAATACTATAGCTCCTAATCTAACTGCCCTTGTTGGTGAACTTGTTGGCGCTCGGCTTATTGCCCATGGTGGTAGCTTGCTGAATCTTGCAAAGCAACCTGGAAGCACAGTTCAGATACTCGGTGCAGAAAAGGCTCTCTTTAGGGCACTAAAAACAAAACACGCAACTCCTAAGTACGGGCTTATATACCATGCTTCTTTGATTGGTCAGGCGGCCCCAAAACATAAGGGTAAAATTTCAAGGTCTCTTGCAGCCAAAACTGCTTTGGCGATTCGATATGATGCTCTTGGAGATGGACAAGATAATACGATGGGATTAGAAAATCGGGCCAAGGTATACTACATATACTTGTCAATATAAGACGGGTCTATCATCTATGTCTCCTGGTTATTTTCATGTTATTTTAATCTTGTGCTGAATATTTGTAGCTCGAGGCACGATTGAGAAACTTAGAAGGCAGAGAACTTGGCCGTCTATCAGGCTCAGCTAAAGGCAAACCTAAGATTGAAGTCTATGATAAGGACCGCAAAAAAGGCTCTGGGGGGTTGATTACTCCAGCTAAGGTGCTGATTTCCCCTTGAATTTTATTTTGTTGATTCTGTGTTTTGAAGTTTCTTTAACTGTCCTTGCTTTTGCAGACTTACAATCCTTCGGCTGATTCTGTTCTTGGGCATACCGAGCCAACTGCCAATGAGGAGGATAAGATGGAAGTAGAGACGAGGCTAGACGAAGTAGCTGAAGCAGTTGAGGCTCCCGCTAATGAAGAGAGCAAGAAGAAGAAGAAGAAAAAGAAGGAAACAGCTGTTGAAGAGGACGCTGGTGAACCCGAGAACGAAGAGGTAGGGAGGAAGGAGAAGAAAAAGAAAAAGCATTCAGCCGAGGGGGGTGAAGGGCAGAATAGTGAAGAAAATGCTGAAACTGGAGAGAAGAAGAAAAAGAAGAGAAAGCATGCCGAGGCTGAAGAAGAAGAAGAGGAAACTGAATCGACCAAGAAGAAAGACAAGAAGAAGAAGAAGAAGAAAACTGCGGATTGATTGTCACATTAAAATGTGTACACAATTTTGGTATGTACTGGCCTTGTTTTAGTGTTTGAAAATCTTGTCATGTTTTCCAAGCCCCTATGACTTCTACAGAAATATTGTATTTTCAACTCAATTGAATTGTGATGATTTTTTTTTACTAATTAGAAAGTATATCATCTAATTATGAGACTAATTAGAAGTTACTTCAATTCATATGGGTTATCTTTTCTTAACAATAGTGACGATATGCTTTAGAGTTAATTCCAGCAATGGTTCCCCAATTATGATGATTTTCCACAATTGGTCCTTGATTTTTAATTTTGACAATTTTACCATTTGACTATTAAAATCTTTTGAATTGAGGTCCTTCCGTTATATCCTAGTTAAGTGGATGTTTATTTGAGGGGTAAAAGCGTCTTTTCAAGTTTTGAGAGTATATTTCATCTTGGTTCCACTGCTAACGTTTTGTATGATAACAGAAGACATACAATAACGTGAGGCATCTATCTCTAAAGACATTCAGCGTTCCGTCTTTTGCTTCTGCCATATCACCTAAGAGCTCAGATCCGAAACTCTCCGGCGGTTTCTTTAAGGACAGATTCGAAACTCTCCGGCGGTTTCTCTAAGGACATTCAGCGTTCTGTCTTCTGCTTCTGCCATGTCTTCTGCTTCTGCCATATCACCTAAGAGCTCAGATCCGAAACTCTCCGGCGGTTGTGACCTGAGATCTAACCGGCGTGGTCGCTGCAAAGATCGGAGACAAAAAAACGCTTTCGAGGCTTCGGAGATTCGGTCCTTGAAGAGGCCGAGGGACGTTTGCGGTTTGCCCGTGCTCGGGAGCAGGATGACGGCAGAGAGTTGGGCTAGTGGGATTCCGGTGCCGGTGCGGGGAGGTGTTCTGCTCCATCACTGAAGCACAGATACTCCGATCGCCACGACTGTTTGTTTGATTACAAGGTGGCCAGCTAGGAGGCGATTGCGAGGAAAAATTCGGTGGTCCGAGCCGCCAAGATTCTGAAAGTGTGATTGCGAAAGAATCGAGTTTTCTGGCTTTTGAACTGGGGAATGATTGGTGGGAGTTTCACTGTAAAACCACACTCTCCTCCTTTAATCATGCCCACTTCCACACTTTAATTTGCTGGTATAGGTCGCCAAGCCTGAGTACCTCACGATGCAGTTCGAACCTTCACCAGTCACCCCTGCCGGCACGGAATGACCAAAATCGGGACTGCCCGTCGCCATAGCCAACCATTTGGACGAGGCCAGACTGCAGCGGTGATAACACTACACCATTGGGAGTTTAAAAAGATATTATGAATTATTTCCCATTGTTACTGACTCTGCATCTACTGTTTCATAATTTTCCAGACCCTCATCCTCCCAACTCTCTCCGCACCTCTTGTACTTGACTGCATCACCCCGACGCACCCATTCGCTGGAGACCAAACCTTAGTCTCCTCCAGCGCGCTTTTTGAGATAGGCTTCTTCACCCTTGAAAACTCCGGCCGATGCTATATGGACATCAAAGAGAAGACCGTTGTTTGAGTTGCTAACAGGGACACACCTCACATGAATGCCACCGGCCGGGGAATTCTAGAATCGGCGAAGATGGGAATATTTATTTGGTGTACGGAGGTGGGAATTCAATCTGCTCAACGTCGACCCAGCCCAACGGCATGCCGGAAGCATTCTTGAGGAAGAAAGACGACGTAATTTACAGGAGCGAAGCTTGGAATGGAATCCGATTTAGTGGCGTCTCGGAAATGAATCTGACAGCGGCCATAACATTCTCGTTTGTCTCCATGAAATCCGAGAATTACTACATGTTTGAGCTCCACAACCAGACAATATTCTCCAAGTTGCAGGTCAGCCATGGCGGGTACCTGGAGCGGTACATGTGGATTCTGACCAACAAAATTTGGAACAAATTCTTGCTGGACGGGTGCGTTAGAGTTCATGATTTGGAATGTGAAAACTATGGGTTTTTGGCGTTGAATTAGATGAAGATGGCGGAGAGTTCGACTGTGGATGCCAGCATGAGCTTCATGAGTGTACGACGATGTGCAAGAGGAATTGCTCCTGCCCCGCGTATGCAACTCCAATATCACCGGTGGGAAACGAAGATGAAATATACACTCAGAACCTAAAAAGACACTTTTACCCCTCAAATAAATGTCTACTTAACCAAGATATAACGGAAGGATCTCAATTGGAAAGATTTTAAAAGTCGGATGGTTAAATTGTCCAAATTAAAAGTCAAGGACCAATTGTGAAAAATCATCATACTCGGGGGACCATTGCTGGAATTAACTCATATGCTTTATGTAGATTATAATGCTATTCAAATTAGGATGACTTTTTACTATTTTTGGAGAATATATCTCATTATCATGAAACTCATCTAAAGTTGCTTTTAGTTTAGAAAAATATAGTGATATGCATTGCTTGTTCTTTTCTTCTTCCAAAAGGTTGAACCTCAACCCTAAGGCACCCTCCCCCCCCCCCCCCCCCCCCCACTCCGGCCCGACAGAGCATTTGGGAGGATGTAAATCATGGTGACTCAACTGAACATTTGAACCCCAACCCTAAGGCCCCCCCACACTCCGGCCCGACAGAGCATTTGGGAGGATGTAAATCATGGTGACTCAACTGAACATGAACCACAGAGGCTAGACCGGTGCTCACTGCGCACAAGGAGCCCCCCTCACTTTGAGAGGTTGCTCCGACACTACCGCTGGTGAGACTCAATCCCTGGTCATTCTTCCAAAGTTTCACCTCTATGACCAGTTGAGCTACCCATGCGGGGCTTGTTCTTTTCTTAATGATATTTATAAGGGTAATTTGCCTTATGTTATCTCAATTGAGATAATATTTTTACTAATGAAAAATGAGATCAAATTAGAGATTCCGTACAAGTGACGAGATGTGGATAACGAGATGGAACCCATAAAAAATTAGAGAAAAAACCCCAATTAAGAGCATTCACAATGGTGAAGTTATTTTGTGATTTTTGAGGAGTTTTTGTAAGTGTGATTAGAGAAGATGAGAGGGGGGAGAAAAAAGGAAAAAAAATCGGAGTTATTTTGTGATTTTTGAGGAGTTTTTGTAAGTGTGATTATGAAAGAGAATATCAGAAGAGAGAGAAAAAAGAAAAAAAAAATTAAAACTAATTTTTTTAAAAAAAATAATAATATTTAATGGACCAGTCAGGCGCTCCGACAGGCACGCTTAATGCACCACCGGGCGCGTGCAGTGCGCCCGGCGTGGAATGCGCACAACAACTACTCTCTCCTCATTTATTTCTCTTCCCTTGGGAAGACAAATAACCCACCCTTTACCGATGCTCCCCACTTTTCTCTTTCTTGCTTCTCTCTCCTCCATCATGTCTTCTTTTTCCGACATAAATCCCATATTCTCCACTGATATTGTTGCTCTAATATGGATGCTCTATAATTGTGCCACGAATATTATGGAGAAGAAAATGAGTAAGTTTATATATATATATATATATATATATATATATATATATATATATATATATATATATATATATTGAAAAAAAATAGCAAGGCCGAGCTGACCGGGTTAACTCGGCTAACTCGATCGAAATGGATGAGTTAACTCGGCCGAATTCAGTCGAGTTAGGCGCTAGGCGGGTGCTTAGGCGACAAAGTCGGCTGAGTTAGGCGCTAGGCGAGCGCCTAGGCGGCCGGTTGCCTAGGCTGGCGCCTAGGGGGGAAGTCGCCACAGTCTATGCGCACCTTGCGCCTAGACCAATTTTTGCAACAGTGACACACACACACACACACACACACACACACACACACACACACACACACACACACACACACACACATATATATATATATACATATATATATATATATATATATATATATATATATATATATATATATATATATATATATATATATATATATATATATATATATATATATATATATAGAAACTGACAAAGAATGGGGAGAAGCAGTACTATACCGAGGTAAAAGGAAATTAGCTCTCTCAACGTACTAAAAGGATGGGAACAAAAGAGAGAACCCATATCTCGAAAGCTATGTAGCTCTGATGATGAGTGATCTACAATGAATATCGACCCTTAACGCTATATCTCAGCTCCATCACCTTTACCGTCCTTTTGACCACAAGCTAGCTAGTCTAGTTTCTGGACCATCAACCTTGCGGCTGATTTGCGTTGTGTCGGCATGCTTAATTTTCTTGTTGTAGTGATAAATGCACATAGCTTTTTGATATTGGTATCAGTCTGAAAAAATTTCATTCCTTGGAACTGGAGACGTTTGATTGGAATATATATTGCGGAGTCCCTTTACAAGCCATATTTGATATCACACTGTTTATCTCTTTTAGACATCAATATGCAGTCTTCATCGCATTCCAAAATATCTCTAATCCAATGATATCTCATATCAATATGTTTTGACCTGTAATGAAACGTGGAGTTCTTTGCAAGATGAACTACACTCTGACTATCACATAGAGTACATACCTGTCCAGGCTGTCCTGAACAAACCCGAGCTCCTGAATAAACTTCTTCATCTATAGCATTTATTTACTGGCCTCAACAGATGCTATGAACTCAGCTTTTGTGGTAGACAAAGCAATACATTTTTGCAATCTTGATTGCCATGAAACTGCTCCCCCTACATAGGTAATCAGATAACCTGAAGTAGATTTTCTAGTATCAATGTCTCTGACCATATCTGAATCAGTGTACCCAGTTAGGATATGTTTCCCTGTACCAAAACACAAACTCAGACTTGAGGTACCCCGAAGATATCTCAGAATCCACTTCACAGCATCCCAATGTTCTCTCCCTAGATTTGAGAGAAATCTGCTAACAACACCTACTGCATGAGCAATATCTGATCTCGCGCATACCATAGCATACATCAAACTACCAACAACTGAAGAATAAGGAACTTTTTGTGTTCACAAATTGGCACGCCCAGTGTGATATCTCTGCCTCCCATATCTTCAGAAGCACATACATTTCGACTGGGAAGCTGATCGGGGGCAAACCCTTAATGAAATTTGAAATGGAGGAAGCTAAATGATACTCCTTGACACGAGTTGAATTGGCCTCATACCCTTCAAGGTTCATTGGGGAGATGAAACAGACTCATATCCTTCAAGGCTCCTTGGCATGAGTTGAAACAACCTTATATCTTTAAGTGTGATTGTCGTATGAGTTGTAGTGTTGAGACTTTATTGCATTACATACTTTCGAGTGGTATATGTTTTCAAGTTCCGTGTACAATCAAGTCTCAAGGAGACATTTGTAGACACAGAAAGTTTGAAAGATGATTATTTTTGAATATTAATATATTTGAATAAATTTTGGATAATATCTATATTTGAATAAATTTTGGATAATATTGATATTATCTAATTTGTTTAATTAGATCCTTCTTCTCCTAAAAGGTTGAAACCCCCAAACCTCGCAGAAGACAGGGCATGCCTGTGCGCACAAAGAATCTGCCCCACCTTCAACCTCGCAGAAGACAGGGCGCACAAAGAATCTGCCCCACCTTCAACCTCGCAGAAGACAGGGCATGCCTGTGCGCACAAAGAATCTGCCCCACTTGCCACTTTGGACATAATTCCCACACTGTGGCCGTCGAGGTTCGAACCTTGGACATAATCCCCACACTGCTGCCGTCGAGGTTCGAACCTTGGTATCTTCTCCCAAATACTGCTCACTGAACCATTGAGCTAAGCCCGTGCGAGCAAAACTTTTCCTATCCTACAACTACAAATAAGAGCTCTCATTTCTAAAGAAAACATCATGGAAAGCTTTGAAGCTTATTCAGAGATCACTATGATCCTGAAAATAAAACCCTTCTAAAATCCTCTTCATAAAGATCCATAAAGATCATGCCAAGCGGCATATTGATACAACCCTCCATTAAATATCAAGTCATTTGAGTTCGGAGGCCCTTTAACGAAGAACAAATGATGTGTACAAATTATGGAGATCAATTTTGTTAATTTTTAATATTAAATTGAATAACTTAATTATAATGTTGCATTGTTCTTAATAAAAATTATATATATTTTTTTCACATGGAAGGGGGATACCCGAGAGTTCAAGGAAAGGTTCAAGGTTCAACATTTACAAAACGCCATGAAGAAATACCAGCTAAATCATCCACAAGAAAACTAAGAACCCTATCAGGTGGGTTAGCTAATAACTAAATACCATTGGAGGAATGCCTAGCAAGGTGTTTTGCTACTTAGTTCTGTTCACGATATATCGCATCAATACAGGACACTTCAAAGCAATGCAGCTCTCTCTTGCAAGCTTCTAGGACGTTGTGGGCAGCGATAGACGGAGTTCTGCAACCATTCATGTAGTTGACGATCTCACTGGCATCGCTTTCAATTATCACCTTCCCGTACCCCAAATGCGCAACAAGCTGGATGCCCTTCAAGAGCGCCCAGGCCTCAGCTTCTAGCGGAGAGCAACCTCCTATACCATAGATGAAGCCTTGTTTCCAAGTGCCACAGCCGTCACGAATTACTCCTCCACAGCTGGCCCTAAACGAACTCAGACAGACTGAACCATCAACATTGAGTTTAACAAAGCCATCCTGGGGTTTTGACCAGCACAGAGTTTTCCATGAAGCTTGATCATCGCAATTGACCCGCCTTTGTGCTCTGCTGAGTGCTTTCTTCATTTCATCAATTTGTTCTCGGACCCAAGAAACTTTAAAACTGAGAGGGTGGATCGTGTTGTTGAACACCGCCTCGTTCCCCCAACTTCCAAATCCACCAAAGCGTTATGACGAATAAGAAAACAAGGTTTCCCGGAGATTTTCCAACTTTCATGATACATTTCTCTAGCCACACCGAAAATGGGGATGACCTTGCTCTGACAGTCGCCGCAGGTAGAATGAGTCTCAAAAGTTCTTCAGCTGCAGGGCATTTCCTTAGTACATGGTCCACATCCTCCACAGAGTCCCCACACTTCCAGCACTTATCGCATAAGGTGAAGCCTTTCCATGCCCTTGCACTATTCGTCATAATTCTACCATGGGCAACCAGCCAAAGGAAAGATCGGACACGGTTTGGAACCTTCAATTTCCAGATGTTGTTCCACTTTGCAGCTTCCACCAAGCTCGAAACTCCAATCGCAATGTCATAGGCTGAGCTTACTGAAAAATCGCCCGAAGTCTCTTTGCTCTAGCCAATGGAATCAACTGCTTCCGGATCGTTATGCACAATGAAAGCTGCTAGCCTTCTGAGTGTGTCTTCTGGCAGAAGGTGATTCAGTTGGTCCTAGGCCCGTCCTCTTTCCTCAGACCAGTAGCTGGAGACTGATCTCTCAATGTCAGTTGCAGACACTGCAACAATTGCTCTTCCTTAAGGGGTTCGTCAATCAGCCACTTATCCACCCAAAACATAGTACCTCTCCCATTTCTCACTTGCCTCTTTGACCCCTCTTGTATAATAGGCAAAGCTTTAAGAATCCCTCTCCAAACATTAGATGAATTAGATCTAGGATGCCAAGTTGAAACATTGGTGGGTAGGAAGGCATACTTAGCTTTGAATAATTGGATCAACAGGCTGTCTTCGTTCTGAAGAATTTTCCATCTGAGCTTAGTAAGGAAAGCGCAATTCACTGGTTCCATTTTGCGAATACCCAAGCCCCCCGAAGCTTTACTTCTTGTAACGACATCCCAATTAACCAAATAGCACTTCCTCTCACCAGTTTTACTGCCCCATAAAAAGTTCCTAACAAGCTTCTCAATGGCTGACACTACTCTTGTAGGTAAAAGAGTTGATTGCATTGTGTAATATGGTATTGACGAAAGCACCGACTGGGCTAGGACTTGTCTACTTGTAAATGAGAGGGTTTTTGGCCTTCCAACCCGCAAGCCTTGATTGAATACACTCCACTATGCCCGCAAACGAGTCCCTCTTAAACCTCTCATGGATCGAAGGGATACCAAGATATTTGCCCATGTCTGTTACCGTTGGAACTCCAGCTACATTGTAATCTGTTATTGCAACTCCAAAGAGGTGTTCTTCGAGAAGAAAATGGCCGATTTATGAAAATTTACTTTCTGTCTAGAGCTTAAACAGAACTGATCGAGGCAGCTTTTCATTACCCGCATTTGCTCTACTGTAGCTTCCCTGAACAATACCAAGTAGTCTGCAAAAAAGAGATGCGAAAGCTAAGGTGCATTTCAAGCTATTTTGATTCCTTTCCAGTGACCAATCCGAACAGATTCATTTATTAAGTGACTAAATCTCTCCACACACAAAACAAAGAGTAAAGGAGAGAGGGGGTCCCCCTTGTCTAATTCTCTTTTTCGGTTTGAACCATTCCGTTTGTTGCCCGTTCCATAGCACAGCTAGTCTTGATGAAGTGATGCACTCCCGAATGTTCCACCTCTATGAATGGTTAATACCAATATCCTGCAAAGTATCATCAATAAAATTCCAAGAGAGCCTATCGTAGGCTTTCTCGAGATCGATCTTCATGATTAGCCAGCCAGTAGCACCTTTCTTGGATTTCATAGAATGCAAGATCTCCTAATAAATTAAGATATTATCCGTGATTGACCTCCCTGGTACAAAACTAGTTTGGTGATACCGATTCAGTTTCGTAGATAAGATCTTGAATCTTGACACTATAGCTTTGGTAACAAGCTTATAAAGTACGTTACATAAACCAATGGGTCTGAATTGTTTAATAGTTTCCAGATTCGGTACCTTCGGAATGAGTGAAATGAATATGTCATTAATACCTGTCGGAAGGCAGCCACTATCGAAGAAATCCTGAGCATATTTCACTAAAGAATTTCCAACTATGGGACAAGATTTTTGAAAGAAGCCAGCTGAGAATCTGTCCGGTCCCGGTGCCTTGCAAGAAGCCATATCAAAAATAGCATTCCTTACTTCTTCTATGCCGAATGGAGTGTTGATTTTAAGCCATTCTAATTCAGAAATAGCAGGAAACCGCCCATGTGGTAGCCCAGGAACATTACCAGTGGGTTCATCTACAAAGAGATTAGTAAAATAATTCTGAACATGGACTTTGATCTGGTCCTCCTCCAGGATCCAATGGCCCTCATCATCCCTCAATGATCTGAATCTTGTATTAACCTTTCTCGCAGTTGTTGCGGCATGGTAAAAGCGAGTGTTACAATCCCCTGAAGAGATCCATTCTTCCATTGACTGTTGAAACCATACTAATTCCTCTTGATAAATTGATTCATCCAGTTCCCTTTTTAATTTCCTCTCGAGTTTGATGAGGTCAGATCTAGGATTAAGAGCTAAGCTTTGTTGAATCCCACCTAGCCTAGCCAACAATCGGTTCTTCCTATAGAATATGTTTCCAAACGTACTGATTGCTATAATCTGCAAGCGCACAGAGTCAATCACAATATAAATTCCTGGAGTATTCCAGGGTCGATCCCACGAAGAACACTATTGACTGTTAACTAAAATAATCAATTTGTTGATAAAGAAAGATGCAAATAAATAGAATTAATGTAATTAAATAGAATATTTATGAATTTAAAGCAGATGAAAACTTTCAATTGAGAATAGACTAGGGATTTAGGGTTCACCTATTAGATAATTAACTAACTCTCCTAAATATTAATTCTTGTAATTATAGTGATGATTGCTCCAATTATATCCTAATACTCCGTCTAGCTACTAGGTTGTATCCAATTAACTGTGATCATCCGTCGATATCTCACCAACATTAATTGAACCCATTAAACAACAATCAAATCTCACCGCAAATACCTAAAGCTATGTCTAGTCTAGGTCAATTGTGTTTATCTTACGAGTTCTAGGTTCATAATTCACCTGTCAGTTCTTCTTATAAACCTTGATATTAGAATTACGCAATGGCCAGTCACACAATCCACAAATAAAATACATAAAATAAATATAATCAAGTTCAATCGTTAAACTGCAATTGGAAGAATTAACACATGAAAAATAGTCAATTAATCTAATCAAGGCTAATCCAAATCCCTAATTGAAGTTCTAGCCAAGAACCATAATTAAATGTATGGGAAGTTCAAGAAATAACATTCTGAAAAATTAAACAAGAAATAAAATAGAGAAGAAGAATAATTCAAGCCTAAGAGATGATAGCTGTGATTGAAGCACGAAAATTCCTTGCGATAGAATCTTCTCGCCGAAGTCTCCGCTGCGCTCCCAAGCTCTCGTAATCTCCTATGGCCTCTCCTTTTTTCCTGTTCTGTTTTCGTATCTCTGTTCTTTTGGCTGCGCAAAAACCCAAATAAACTTCCCCCTTTTTTTCCTTTATTGCTGCGCCAATCTATATAAGAAAACAAAACAAAGGGAAAGTAAAGTAAACTGAGTGTCTGATAGCGTACTGTAAGATGATTCAGATGTGCTAAAGCGAACATGGAACATAATTTACATATTAAGTGTAGAAAGAACCTAGCAAAGAAAATGAAAATACAGAAATGTGATTTTGCCTACTAATGAGACCTGGCCAGGGAATCCCTCTACCAAAAAGCACTACGAATTGAAAGCCAACCACATAACTTGAGTTCAGCTCAATTTAATCATAATTCAGAACTACACTAATAGCCAAATATAAAATCTTAAACACAGCTATGGTGACTGATAAAATTTCATCAAACAATCAATAGTTTTGAAGGTTGGGAAAATTTGAAGTGTACACTATAAGCGCTAAAATAGACAGTCAAGAGGCAGCAACATCCATTTATATTAATCGTTTTATGTCTATATATCATCTTCCATCATAGACCATCTTTAGCTTGTTGAAATATGCCGAGAAAAATGAAATGTTGAAAGCAGAGAAAAAAACAGAGACAACTATTAACCATTAAAGGTGAAAGTATTCTCTCACCGCTTCAATGGCAATCACAATGCATTTTGCTGCCATTGCACTAAAAAGATTTAATATTGAAACCTAATATATAATAAAATAACATAAATTTAATATTCAAATCTAATATTGTAGAAACTAAATAGAAATATAGAGAAATTTAATATTGAAACCTAATATAATAAAATTGCAGAAATTTAATATTCAAACCTAATATAATAAAATTGCAAAATGTATTACAAATAAAGAGTTGGTTCTTACGTAAATGCAAGGAATTCACTCTCATAGTTTTCCCAGTTATCCTTATGCCATGTCACATCCTTCTGCATATTAAGAATTCCAGGTCAAATGTGAAAAGAAACAATGGAAACAAAGCTTAAAAGTGGCATACTGTAATGGAATTGTATAATTACCCTATCAATAATTATTTTTTATTTTCTCAGAATTTTACATAGAAAATAATCAAACAAAATTCTATCGGATCATTATTTCACCCAAAAGTAAATATAACGATTAGAACTTAGAAATTCATTTCTATGATGAGTTCCATCTGATATGAAAAGAGAGATTTCTGCACTGATATTCAACATTTATTCACAAGTTTCCACCCAACAATAAAAATAAAAATAAAGGAGACATAGCCAAATTTCAGCTAAAGAAAATAAATTAAAATATTACAGAGTAATTATATCAATTATCAAATCAAGAGAAAACTAACATGACAGAGAAGCTGCCGGAGAAAATAGTTACCGACTTGCCGCGTCGAAGAAGCTACCGGAGAAGACCCGTGCCCTTGCCGACTTGTCGCGCCAGAGAAGCTTCCAGAGAAAACAGTCGCGCTAGAGAAGCTGTGGAAGAAAACAGATCGACACAGATCTGGACTTCTGGAGTAGCGAAAAGAAGCTTTTCCTCCGCTGTTGGAACTACCGTCGCACTGGAGTATGGGTTGAGGGCATGAGGCAGTGACGATGATGAGGGCAAACTAGCAGAGGCATTAGGGTTCTTCATCTTTCTAACTTGAACTTAAGATTTTAACTTGGAAATAAAATTTAAGAAGCAATTGCTTCGTAGCGATATTTATTAAAAAAAAAAATCTTTTTTTCGCGACGGATAAAAATTCCATCGCAATCTCCGTTGTCATTTCGCGACGGAAAGTAATTTCGTCGCTAAATGGACGATGTAACTTACATCCGTCGCAAATTTCATCGTAAATATTTTACCGCAAAGCTTTCGCGGGTTTAATTTTCTCTTTGCGCCAAAAATCGCGACGGAATCAATTTCCGTCGCGAATTCCGTCGTTAATTTGCAACGGAAACTATTCCATCGCTATATTGCGACGGAATAGTTTCCGTCGCGATTCGCGATTTTTCTTGTAGTGTTATAATTTCACTATATCAAGAGCAAGAACTTGTATTCTACCAATACAATGAACTCTACCAAAATAAGTCATCAGTGCTTCATTCTCCCTCATCCTTTTCACAGATAAACTCTCAAAACAACATTTAAAATCTCATTTTCATCTTCTTTTCATTTTTTTTTTCTGTTTTTTTCTTCCTTTTTGTTTTTTCTGGTAAAACCGAATAGATTGCTCCTCATTTCCACACAACCCTCAATGATAATCTTCTCATAATCATCAAATTTCTATCATGTCTTTATTGCTCATAGATCATTTTAAGAATAAAATGAGCACAAAAGTTTAGGCTAACAAGATTTTTCAATCCGGCCAAAAATTAGAACATATATCATTTTGTTCTTTTTTTTTTTTTCACCCACTTTGATCACAAACAATTATTCACTCAAAGAAAACCAATTGTACAATCACATTTCAACTCCAATCTCACCCATACTTCATCACTTTTGGTCATCTTGCACAGATAAATGAAATAATGACATCCACTGATCCAATGACGGGTTAGAAGGCTTCTTTTATGAGTTAAGGTTCTTTGGAACTGGCTAATCAAGAAAAATATCTTATATTTATTATAAAGCTCAAAATGGTTCACTAGGGGGAAATTAACATGTATAAGGATGTGGTCATTTTTAAAGCCATAAAGCTAAATCCTAATGCCTAAATCATTCTCGTGTCATCATATAACATGTAGCTCTGAAATGGTATGAAGCAAGTTCTAGAAGTAGCACAATCAAAGAAGGCAAATAAACACTCAAAAAGAAAATAAGTTGCAGTGGGCAACCTCTAGTATAAGCTCAAAAGCTCACGGTGTGACACAATTTGACTACCAACTCTATGCAAGCATACATATAGCCAAACACATTCATTGATATTATGCACTCTCAAAACACTAGAACTTATCTCCCAATCAACATAGTCATTAGATGGTATTTTTTTTAAAAAAAAACTTTATCTGGTATTTTTTTTTTTAAAAAAACTATTTACTAAGAAATTGCTGAAAAATGAAGGGAATGATGCAGCAAATTTCAGCAAAATACAGAAAATTAGTGCAGAAAGAAAAATGCAGAATTTTTTTTTGTGCTGAAAATTTTGCAGAAAAGTGCAGAAAATAATTGCAGCAAAATGCAAAAAAAATGCATAAAGAAAAATGTAGAATTTTTTTTGTCTTAATTGCATAAAACTTGCAGAAAACATCCCCTAAAATTACTTTCCCTTCCCCACACTCAAACTCAACATTGTCCTTAATGTTAAATAAGAAATCAGGTATGAGAAAATGAAATAAACAGGAAACTTCCCTGTTAGTTGCCAATTTCTTCCGGGACTGCCTTTTGGTGAAGCAACCATGAATGGTCTCTTTTTAACTCCTTCAATCTCTATGGCCTCATAGGAACGAACTTTAGTGACCATGAAAGGACAAAACCGTCTTGACTTCAATTTCCCTAGAAAAAAGCTTAAGACAAGAATTATACAACAAAACTTCTTGTCCTACATTGAATTCTCTCCAAAAATTATTTTTGTCATGCTAAGCTTTAGTCAATGTTCTCCACAATCTCTCTTCTTTTGCATTAAGTAAATGAGCATAAGAAAGCATAAGAAAAAGATCACTGTCACTCAAAAAATTGTATTTGAACTGCAATGGAAATGGTTTAGGTTTAAGTTCAAGTCGAGGTAGTGTTTCATTAAAAGGTAATGAAAAAGGGTTGTCTCCATCTAAATCTTCATACTTCCTACTAAGATGTGTAAGAAAATGACCTTGACCCTCTAATCTCATCATAGACTCAACAAATTCTGGTCCCTTCTTTTCTATTGGACATGCTTCCAATGGATCTCTAGGTGCATGCTTAACAAATACTTCTTCTGAAGGTTTCTCAATAACATCAACACAAAGACAGGATTCATCAAGAGTAGGTAATTTTATAGCTTTAGAGATAGAGAATTCTTCTTTTTCTGTTCCTACTCTAAAATCAATTTCCCTAAAGGCATATCAATTATTACTCCTCCTGTTAACAAAAATGGCCTACCAAGTATAAGAGATGTATCTGTATCACTACCCATATCAAGAATCAGAAAATCAGCAGGAAAATAAAATTTACCAACTTTTACCAAGATATCCTCCACTACTCCAAGTGGGTACTTAACTGATCTATCAACAAGTTGAAGAGAGATTGTTGTTGGCTTCATTTCAGCTATTTCCAACTTCTTGAAAAAAGTTAAAGGCATAAGGTTAATACTGGCACCTAGATCACATAAGCATTTATCAACAACAGTATTACCAATAGTGCAAGGAATAGAAAAACTTCCTGGATCCATTAGCTTAGGAGGTAATTTGCTTTATAGAATAGCACTACACTCCTTATTTAAGTGCACAGTAACAAACTCTTCCAGTTTCTTTTTATTAGACACAATTTCCTTAATGTACTTGGCATAAGATGGCATATTGGCAAGTGCTTCTGCAAAAGGAATATTAAATTGCAATTTTTTAAAAACCTCTAAAAATCTTTTAAAGTTATTGTCCTGGTTCCTCTTTTGTAGCCTTTGTGGCTATGGAATGGGGGTACATAAGGTTTTACTGTAGAGGAAATGTGGTTTTTATCACTAGAACTCTCTTTAGGCACATGCTCCTCTTCTTTATCGCTCTCTTTTTCAACCCTCACGGGTTCTTTTTCTTTCAAAGCTTCATTCAACATCTTACCACTTCTCAAAGTGATAGCCATAGCTCCTTCCCTAAGATTTATTTCAGTGGTACTAGGAAACTTACGTTGATCTTTTTCTGCAACCAATTTAGCCAACTGACCTACTTGCACCTCTAAATTATGAATGAACGCTTGGTTGGACTGGGCAACCTTATCAATTTTTGCATCCATTTTCTTCATTATAGTGTCCTGGCTAGCCATGTATTGCATGAACATGTCTTCCAATTGAGGCTTCTTCTCCTGAGCAGGAAGTTGAGGTTGTTGTGGTGCAGGTGGCTGCTGGAAAGGTCTATATTGCTGCTGAAATCCTTATGGTCCTTGTTGCTGAAATCCGGGTGGTCCCATTGGTCTTGCATTACCTTGATCTCTCCATGAGAAGTTAGGGTGATTTCGCCAACCTGGATTATAGGTGTGAGAAAATGGATCACTCCTTGGTTGTTGCCTCCCCATATTGGATCCCATGTAATTGACATCTTCATAAGATGGTTGGGATGACTCTGCATTCATACAAACAGAAGAATTATGACCATATGTATTGCAAAAAGCACAAAATTCTCTATTCGAACTATCACGAGTCCCCATCAACAAGTTAATCTGTTTAGTCAATTCAGCCATTTGTGTTGTCAATTCAGATTGTGTGCTAATTTCATGCATAGCAGCTCTTCGACCTCTCACTGCCTTTTGTCGAGAATTACTAGCTAAGATCTCATAGATAGCTTCTAATTCATCACTATTTTTATCACCTGTGTATCCACCTGCAACAGTATCTACAAGAGACTGACAATTAGGAGTTAAACCATCATAAAAGAATTGTGTCAACAATAACAATGGGAATTGATGGTGTGGACATTGTGTCAAAAGCAATTTAAAACGATCCCATGTTTCATGAAATAACTCAGCCTCTCTTTGAATGAAAGTGCATATCCTACTCCTATAGTCCATTGTCTTTTGAGATGAATAATATTTAAACATGAAAGCATTGTAAACATCATCCCAGGTTCTTAAAGTACCCTTTGGTAAATTTAACAACCACTGCCTAGCATCACCCCTCATGCAATATGGAAAACATTTCATTCTAAGCTCTTCCTCAGATAAATTATTCAAAGGTAAAATTTGTACCGTACTATAGAGCTCTCGCATGAAACCCAAACCATCTTCACTTCCAAAACCGTTAAAGGTCGGGAGCATATTCAGATGGAAAGTCTTCAGTTCATAATTTCTAGCTGCATCAGATAATTGAATGCAAGAAGGGTTAACAACTATTATCGGTCTTTGGATGTCTCGAAGACGTGGTTGAGCTGCTTGATTTTGAGGAGGTGGAACTATTGGTGGCACGGGGTCATCCTGTTAACCCACTCTATTGTTTTCAGTCATTTCAAGCCGCCTTCATACATTGTTTTTTCTGCAAGTACGCTCAATTTCAAGATCAATAGGAAATAATTCAACGTTCTTATGCCTTTTTTATCGTCTTAAGTTCATAAACAAACAAAATAAAATAGGAAAACAAATAACTAAATAAAAAAATAAAAAAGTAATAACGAACCTAACTAAAATAAATTTGAAAAGAAATTAAAAAGTGAAAAACTTAAAGAAAACAGTTTAATAAAGTGTCCCCGGTAACGGCGCCAAAAACTTGATTGCTATAATCTGCAAGCGCACAGAGTCAATCACAGTATAAATTCCTGGAGTATTCCAGGGTCGATCCCACGAAGAACACTATTGACTGTTAATTTAAATAATCAATTTGTTGATAAAGAAAGATGCAAATAAATAGAATTAATGTAATTAAATAGAATATTTATGAATTTAAATCAGAGGAAAAGTTTCAATTGAGAAAAGATAGACTAGGGATTTGGGGTTCACCTATTAGATAATTAACTAACTCTCCTAAATATTAATTCTTGTAATTATAGTGATGATTGC